TCCCATCACTTTCAATAACTAAACAAGGGCCAACTTGTAAAAACTTGTTTCTACAATAATGGTTTTGCAGCAAAAACCTTCATTTTATTTTTAAAAACTTTTATTAAGTAAATATAAGATAAATTTTGTAAAACCCCCTTAAACTATAGGAAAGTTTGCTCGAGAGTATGAAATTTAAAAATTAGAGAAAAACTTTCGTGATTTCAATAATTTTTCTAAACTTCATAAAAACCACTTGAACTCGTAAGTTATTTATTACCAATCAAGTATTAATTATCAAGTCCACTTGTTTTGTATTCCTACATATTGAACTCGTAAGTTATTTATTACCAATCAAGTATTAATTATCAAGTCCACTTGTTTTGTATTCATACATATTGCTTATACACACGCACACGCACACACTTAATTGTAGATAAATGGTGTTGATGATACTAAGGCCATTCCAAATAAGGCTCTAGCACTTTTTGTAATACGAACATATCCAGGAGCACATCCATCTTTATTTAGCTAATAGTGCGGAGGGTTCACAGAGCATTAAATCGAACTCATGAGGATCTTCACGATGGTCGTGAGATGATGATGATGAAGGAGGATGTCTTTTACGCATGCTGATTTGCTGATAAAATCAACAGAGACGATAGGGATCTTGCAGGAACAACAATGAAAGCTAGAAATTTGAACATGTTGGCGGTCTGTCACAACCACAAATGCAACCGGACAGCCATGTCTGCAAATTCTTTATGCTCGGGTAAGAAGAGGGGGACAAATGGTAAGGCTTATAGGTTGTATATGATCGACTTATGGGTTTTTTATCGACTCTATTTAAGTTATCTGTATACGCTATTTGTAAACTAATAAACATTATATATTTGGTTTTGTTGTGATGTTTTGGTGGACGGAGATTGTTATGAGTCTTATGACCCTTGAAGTACTAAATGCTAATATCCATAGAGAAGTCGACACATGTCTTACACTATACTTAACCCGACTAATTCAAGATCAAGATAAACTCCAACTCAGCACGGTTGACTTAATTGACCGACAACTTGCGTAACCGAATCAAAAGGCGGTACTACTCAGCCAACCCCTCAATTGACTCTACAAGAGACCCGACATCTAGCGTAGCCGAGTCAAAAGGCGATAATTCTCGACCCTAAACTTAACGAGTCGAAGGACGCAATTACCTCGAACCCCTTGCCATCCGACTACTCTCGCATTAACTACCATGACAACATCATCATTACTCTAGTCCTCATAGTTTTTATGACTCATCGGACCTAGTCAGCACCAAGCTTGCTGTCATTCCCATAGTTTTTATGACTCATCGGACCTAGTCAGCACCAAGCACTTACTGTCATTCCCACAATAAATGACCAGATGACTCACCTCTTTCAGCATCCGACACGTGGCATATATCAGCTGACTCAGCTGCTTAGCTGGACTCAGCACAAGTTACCTTCTTGTCTCTCAAACCCACTATAAAAAGGAGCGGCACTGCATGAGGTGGTGGTGGTGGGGTGGGGGGTGCTAGCCTTCTTTTTTACGTAACTAAGATTTAATTCTATATTTCCCACTCAAGATCACATACTGACGTGATTGTTGGAGGAAAAACTGAAGAACCAAACCTTCCCACTTACGAATTCCTTCGGTGCAGGGAAGAACAGTGAGCCTCAGAACCTCTCATCAGAAAGAGTTAGAGGGCCTAATCACTCCATAAACTCCTAAATAATCACCTATTTGATAATTGACATCAACAGAGATAATATGTGTTGTCACGATGTTTTTATCACTTGCATTTTATCGTGTTTTAATTTGTTAGGGTGTGGGAGAGAATATGTATTTTCGGTGGGGAGAGAAGAGGGTTATGTATAGGAAATATAATTATATATTTAGATATGTATTGGAAATGAACTCAAATTCTAGCTATGTACAAGAAGTATTCTCAATAAGTCCCATGCATGTTTGTCCACGTCCAAGAAATACATGGGACTATTCCGTGTATTTCTGGACATGAGCAGAGTATCTATATAATACATATGACTACTAGTCCCGTGTATATTTATAGCTTTAAGTAATATTTAATTATCGATCGCTAATATTGACCTTTTCTTCACCCATCGAGAGACATACATGGGACTATTATCGATCGCTAGTCCTGTATATTTTAAAACCTATATTTTACAAAATCAACCTTTTCTTCACCCATCGAGACGACGTGACCAAAAAAACATGTCAATATTTTTTAATATTTTGAAAAACGATCAAATTTGCTAATTACTTCTAAAAAATGGTCTTTTTTTTTTAAATTGTCATTCACGGTCTATGGTCACCCTTTGTAGATCATCTATAAACTCAAGGGGGTTTTCTGATATTTATCAAAAATGCAATCTCCGGTAAAACGAAAGAGATCCTTAACTTATCCACTTTAATCCACTTATTATGTTCTCCCTTATTAATCACACCTATTGTATTCAGGTGTTAACCCCTAACCCGGTGAACTTAACGCAACAGTGACCGTCTTCAGAGTTCCCAACACCGGCGGTGACCATAACAGAAGATAAGAACACCTCTCTCTCTCTCTCTCTCAACTCCAACATCGTATTGCATTGAACTGCGCGTCTCCCTCTCTCTCTGTCTCCTCATTTTCTCTCTCTAAATCGATCTCATTCTCATGCTCTCACATCAATGAGAAACCCTCAACATGACGACGACGACGAGCAGTTCTACGAGTCTCTCGATCGAATATTGTCCTCCTCGTGCTCGTCGACGTCGTGCTCCGACGACGACGTGGAGAGCGACGAGCCACCGCGGCCGCGTCGGGCCTCGCTTCCCGCGCCACGGCGGCGATGTCGTAGGGGGGGGGGCGAATGTGCTGGGATCGGCCGAGCCTGCCTCGATCGAGGAGCGGCGGCGGCGATTGCTTCAGGCAGATGGGGCTCATCGGCGATCCGCCCTCGCTCCGTGAATCGCCGATCCGATCGAGATCCGACGGCGATCGAGGCGTAGAGTTCGAGGTTTCGAGATCTGTTCAACGGTCTAGATCCGATTGCTCTGTAGATCTGACTCCTGTACATAAACCTCAACAGCAAGGTCAACAGCAGCAGCAGAATCTTGATGAAGAATCTAACGGCGACGGTAACAGCAACGGCGATGTGGATTTGTGTTGTACGATCAAGAATCTTGATAATGGAGAGGAGTTTGTAGTGAAAGAGGATGGATTGTGGAATAAACCGAGGGAGGTTGGATCCGGGCGGCAATTGACGATGGAGGAGTTCGAGATGTGCGTAGGTCGATCTCCGATCGTTCAAGAGCTGATGAGACGGCAGAATGTCGAGGATTCTGGTAGCAGTGGGGGTTCTGGCAATCAAAATGGTGGCTTGAGAGTGGGGCCTAGGGCAAATGTGGGATTGAGGTGGAAGAAGAAAGGGGGATGGCTTAAGAGTATCAAGAACATTGCTGGAAATGTGGTTGCTGGAGGGTATTATAGGGAGAGAAGGAGTAGCGATGAGAAGGATTCAAGCTCGGAGAAAGGAGGAAGGAGATCGAGCTCAGCGACTGATGATAGTCAAGATGGAGGATCACATTCAGTTCAACATGGTCCAGAGAGGATTAGGGTTCGGCAGTATGGGAAATCTTTTAAGGAGTTTACTGGACTTTACATGACTCAGGAGATTCAAGCTCATACCGGGTCAATTTGGAGCATTAAATTCAGTTGGGATGGGAAATATCTCGCAACTGCAGGTGAGGATTGTGTCATTCATGTTTGGCAAGTTACAGAGTTTGAGAGGAGGGGGGATTTTGTAATTGAGGGAGGGGTAGGTGAGAGTGTGCATTGCAGCCCCTTTGTGAATGCGGGTAGTAGTGAGTCACCGGAGTCAGCGTTGGCATTGGCTTGTATTGAGGGAAGCCATTGGGAGAAGAAGAGAAGGGCAAGGTTGTCAAATAGCCGGAAGTCAGTGAGCTCTGATCATTTAGTTGTGCCTGACCAGTTATTTGCACTTGGGGATAAGCCGGTTTGTTCTTTTAAAGGGCATCTTAATGATGTTCTCGACCTCTCATGGTCAAAATCAGAGGTATTTCTCCCTTGATTACTTGTTTGTAGCTTTGATTTTGGACAAAATGATTGGTAGTTGGTACACAATTATGCTACGTCCATTTGACAGTATTCTCAAATTCCTTTTTAACATTGTGAGATTGGAACCATATCAAACAATCTTTCTGTAACACTTTACTTGTTAATTGTAATTAGTATTGAGGATAAAATGAAAGAGAATCGACCAAGATGGTTCAGTCATGTGCGAAGAAGCCAACTAAATATGTTAGTCAGGAGAACTGCTAAGATTATAAATTTATAATTAACGGGGCAAGAAGCACTACAGTTACTCTTAAGAGAACATGGTTGGAAGCAATTAAGAAGAATGTGATGATACTAACTTAACAATGCCCTTAATGAAACTGCATGGAAGATTAGGATTAATGTAGCCAACCCCAGAATTTGGGATAATTTGTTGTTGTTGCTTGTTCTCCATATATATAGCGAGGCAGAAAAGGAGCATTACAAGATAAAGTAATAAATTAAACGTAAGGTGATAATGACTGCAAATAGGTATTAGAGTTCCAGTTTTCTGGCAGGTCCTGGAAACTTGCACGTTGTCATCTTTATTATATTCCAATCTATTATATTACCTCCTTAGGATAAGAAACGAGTGCATCCTAAGGATATTAGATGTTGCTCCTATCGAGGATAAATTGAGAATCGGTTGGGATGGTTGGATCATGTGCAACAGAGGCCTCTAGGTGCACCGGTTATGAAAACTATAATATTATAGTTCATGTGGGCAAGGAGATATAGAGGTAGATCTAAAAGAACTTGATTGGAAGACAACTAAGAAGGATATAGTAATAGTAAATTAATGAAGGAGATGAACGAAAATTAAACTGGATTCATGCAGTCAACTCCAAAACTTTGAAATAAAGCCTTTGTTGTCGTTGTATTTGTTGTTATCTCATGCAAATTATTATTATATGTACATGAGTGCGTGCATGGGTGGGTGTGGGTGTGTGTTCCTACCTGTCTTTATAATTTTTCCATTTACTGTACCCACGCCCATATGCGTATCCATATCATTTAACATAGCCATATACCAACGGAGGCATCTAGGCACTAACATTGAAGCTGATTCTTGGGGTTGCCACTTTACAGACACGTTTTTATGTTTTATTTGTTTTATTAAAATATTTTTTCGGTGCTTATGGACTCGGTTCGAATATGATCTCCTAATATGCTGTATATTATATGTTTATGTGGTTAATTAAAATTTAAGCAGAGATAGGAAAAACTAATTTGATAATATTGCAAATGCTATGCATGACACTCCCTTGATACAGTAAGCAGGTATGGACCTCGATTTAGTGCTTACAATAGTATTGCCTTCTGTTGCCATTCTTTTGTGATGCAACCAAGAGGAATTTTAGGTTTACACATGATTAAAATAGGTTTTGTGCTGCTCTTTTTCTTTCTTGACTTCAAAATCATGTTACTCATGTCAGACTTCGTCAATGAAAATGGGAACTTCTTGAAATGAAGTCTAGTTTCACCTGAGCAAACGTATCTGGTTATTGGACAATTATCGTCACACCAGCTCATTTGTAGTTGGAGAGAGATGCTAGATGAAGAAAGTAAAAAGAAAAAAAAAACAAAGCAATAAAAGTTAACAAGAAGAGGAAGAGAGAAAGTTAACAAGGAGAGGAAGAGTTGGGAAAGACAATTGGGTAGATAAAGGGAGAATATCGAGATGGAGAGGGAGGGAGGAAGAGAGGATATTTCTTAATCATCTGTGTGAACTATATTATTGTTTCTTTTGTCTGAAGTCACGTTTCAAGAGGAAAATTCTTAGCAGACCAGGCAGGATTTTCTGTGATCTGGAGGTCACTTTGTGAACCGTTGATCTTTCCTGAACATTTATGCAATGAGCTAGAGTTTTTAAAGCTTCTCTAACCGAAGACCAAAAACAAAACTAAATTAGATACCATGAGTGTGTTTCAGGCCATCTACTCAAGTCCTGTGACCTGCAGACATCTTCAAAATCTTGTCCTCTATCTGCTCCACAAAAGTAAACAACGACATACTATGATGCATCTTTGACATACCTGTTGGGGAGAAAGGCGTCTTACTTGGACTCTGCATTATTTGCCTATTACTCCTCTCAAACTAGGATAAATGAGTACTATGGCAGTCAAATGCCATCTCTGTCCCTTTCAGCACTTACTGTTGTTGCTAAAATAATTTTTATTTGATTTATTTCTCCTAGCATTTTTTTGAGATTGTTCAAGTCAGGCCAAACTGAAATGTCACAATTCCAATATAGCAAATCCTCATAGACGCTACATCCGTAAAAAGCATGATACTTAACTTTATTCTTAAAAAAATATATTTTACTTTATTCTTTTTTTTTATTTGTCAGGTCTTCAAATGCCAATTTTATTTTCTAATTGTTGTTTATGGTTGTACAAATAGTATTGTTGACCTCAGATGTCCCTGACACCTGCACTTGTTTATTATTTTTTTTATCATTTTTAGTTTTTTATAATTCACATAAATGGGTGTTCAAGTGTACATTTTCAAGAATGCATATATGTATGTGTATACGAAGAAGTTATTCTAATAAATGTGGTATTGTGCTTTCCAGTATTTGCTTTCATCTTCAATGGACAAAACAGTTAAGCTGTGGCACTTGTCTAGCAATTCTTGCTTGAAAACGTTCTCACACATTGACTATGGTAACTATTGTTTATTTATCTATTCATTTTTTATCTGCTAGTCGCTCTATACTCTGTTAGCTTGTTTCTTAGCCATAACATTAATCAGGCTGTGCTTTGGTGCAGTGACATGTATCCAATTCAATCCTGTTGACGACAGATACTTCATTAGTGGATCTCTTGATGAAAAAGTCCGTATATGGAGTATACCAGATGGAAAAGTTGTGGACTGGAATGATCTTCATGAAATGGTTACAGCTGCTTGTTATACCCCTGATGGACAGGTACTATTACTATGCTTGATTCAGTGATAACTTTCAGTCCGTGCCTTGTAATTGTTATAGATTTGCTAGATGAGTTTTGGTTAATTATTTGTTTCTTTTTGTCTATTTTTCCTAGGATGCATTAGTGGGTTCGCACAAGGGCTGTTGCTAGTTGAGTTTTTGTTGATTATTTGTTCCTTTTTTGTCTATTTTCTTAGGGCGCATTAGTGGGTTCGCACAAGGGGAGTTGTTATATTTACGAGACATCTGGTATGAAGCCATCTCTCTCTCACATGCTTTCACAGTAAAAATCTGGAGACTCAGAAAAAATATGCATCTGTGTTTTTTTTCCTCCAGATAATAAACTCCATCAGAAAGGTCAGGTTGACTTGCAAAACAAGAAAAAGAAGTCCAGTCACAAGAAAATAACTGGCTTCCAGGTTTGTTTGGCAAGATATAATGGGTTCTCTATTGTATAGAACTATATTTCCTTGAAGCATCAGTCTATAGACATCCTGAAAGTTCTCAGCTGCCAGAACTTATATGTAACTTATACATCATTATATTGCTGATAAATTTCATGCAAACAGTTTGCACCAGGTAGTTCGTCAGAAGTGCTGATCACATCCGCAGATTCGAGAATCCGAGTGGCTGATGGTGATGAACTAGTATACAAGTTCAAAGGTATCCTTTTGCTACTTTTCTTGGTCCTGCTGCTGTACATGTAACATGCTATAATACTCCAAGGAGCTGAATCTGAACATAATTTAAAAAATTAGATGGACTATTAAATTATTCATTAAGGTGTTTTAGGTTCTGGCACCTTTTCTTTTCTTTTTCTCTCTTGGACATGTTGAGAAATAATTTGAGAGAACCTTGTGGACGTTGATGTCAAGTTAATTGACAATTGAAAGTATCTAGTTGATTCTTGTGTAGAGCTTTCTCAGCCTTCTGGGTCAAGACAGTGAATTATTCCCTGTTTGGATTGAGGGGAATGAGGGTGAAGGGAAGTTAGGGGAACCATTCACCTCCATTCACCTTGTTTGGGAACACTTAGGAGGTGAAGTTAATTCACCTCCATTCACCTTGGTTCACCCCCTAATAGTATAAAAATTGTTACCCCCCAAATTGGGGTGTAACCAAGGGGAAGGGAATTCCCTTCCCTTCCCTTCCTTTCCCTTCCCTTCCCTTCACTCAGTTTCCCTTAACTTCCCTTCACCCCCTACGAATCCAAACAGGCCCAGGAAAACACTGACTTCAGAGCAAATTTTGGGCTAACATGAATCCATTTAGGCGTTTAGAAGAGGTAGAAAGAGAATGGTCAGTGAAATAGCTATGCTTACTGATTAACAAATCTGAACGCACTCATCACCTAACATAGCATTGTGAGCTTTGGATTTCCTGTTGGATTGTAAATCATTTGGCATCTGCATAATATGCATGTTTACCTGATTCTCTTAAGTTCGTTGGAATGTCTTGATAAATCTGTTTGTCTGATTTGCTATACCACCCTACTGCTATTAGAAGACAATACCTTTTCGCCATTACATTGGATAACTCATAAGTTTGTCTGCTTAGCTTACATGTCCGGCATGCTATTTCATTCTGCCAAGTGCCAACTAGTCTTTTCTATGATATAACTCTTAAAATTCCCAGTCTTACGTCTCTGGTTTTAAATTTGACTTGTTCTCTCTGATTATTTTTGATATAATCTGGATAACAAACTGCAGGGAGTGGGAGCCCGAAGCTGGTTTTTGTCTTTCTTTTTCTTTTGTATTTCTGGGAAAATCTTATGTTAATTTCACGTATGTTCACCTGGCACCAAAATTTATCCAGACAAAGTGCATACACCATGTACTGCATATTATCAAAGCCTTGTATTTTGTTTTGAGTTAATTGTGGGTAGAACCCCCTGTGCTATAGCCCAATTTGCAGATAGACCCCTGTAGTTCTAATTGTCCGGATAAATCCCACCTGAGTGAACTTTTTTGACTCTTCTACGAGTAAAAACAAATTTACCCGAGGTTAGTCTGACTTGGGCAAATAGTACAGCCGGGGGGGGGGGGGTCGGTGCAGACACCAGTAGAACTAAGGGCGATCTGAAACTGGCGAATTGAGGGGGGTTCATGCATATCTAAATATGCGTTCTGTCGTGCACTGGCTGATGATAATCTTCTCTATTTTTCCTGCCTTCTCCAGGATTTCGCAACACAAGCAGCCAAATCTCGGCCTCCTTAACTTCCAACGGAAAATACATTCTTTGTGCAAGCGAAGACTCTCACGTCTATATCTGGAGATACGATGCAGAAACCCAACCCAATCGAACCAAAGGACTCGTCTCCATAAATCAATCCTATGAACATTTCCACTGTCGAGATGTCACTGTCGCAGTTCCATGGCCAAGCACCATATCAACTCTTCGAAACCTCCAACATAACTCAACCACGGTCTCAAGATGCAATTCTCAAGACCATGCAAGTATTAATCCCTTTGGTGATAGAGTTACAGCGACTTGGCCTGAAGAGAAATTGCTTACGTCATCGAACCAGAGCAGTCCTAGAGAAAGCATGGATCTCAGTAGTGGGAGAATGCAGTTGCAGAGCCGGTCAGCTTGGGGTATGGTGATTGTGACTGCCGGTAGAGGAGGCCAAATACGAACTTTTCAGAATTTTGGCTTCCCATTTTAAAAGATGGGTTAATTGCCGATAAACCCCCTGTAGTTTTGCTGTTTTAACTTGCTCCCCTGTAGTTTCATTGTTGCCATTGATTTTGAGAAGGGTAAAGAGTGAAGGGAAAAAAAAAAGAAGCATAGGGGAGAAATGCGACGAACGAAACTACGGGGCAGTAAGTTCAAAATAACTATATTATAAGGCGTCTATGTGCAATTAACCCAATCTAAAGATCCGAATCTCGTTCTAATCTTGTGAATAGATTAAGTACAAAAGATGTGTATTTTATTCCAAATTGGTCCCACCCGGAGGAGGCTTTTAGGAGAGAAATGTAGATGGAAGAGGATGCTTAAAGGCTTCTTTTAGTGGCACTTATTTTTGGGGGTTGGGAGTTTGAGTGGTCCCCTTTATATTTTCCATTGTTCCACATTTGTTTTTTTGGTTTTATTTATATTGTTTATGTAAGAAGGAAAAAAAATTTAAAGCAACAAAGGAGGTTACGTTTGTGAAGGAGAGTTTTTTCCTCTTTTCTTTGGTGTAGATTTGTGCCGGGCAGTAGCAAAGAGATTTAGGCTGTGTTTGGGAATGCTGATTTGGGTTTGGATTTGAAATTCTGGGTATTTCAAATCCAAATTTCATCCTTTGGATATGATCGTTGAAGCTCTATTCCATCCATCCTCCAACAATGTTGTTTGTCTACAATACATAAGAATGTACAAACACTAGACAAACAATATTAGTAGTAAATTGTTTGTAAATTATTATCAAAACAAGAAGGCCAACAATCTCCCCCTTTTTGATGATGACAAACAATTTACAAAAAAAGGATATATGCATGAGAGGAAATGAATATATAATGTATAATATATCATGCATATAAACAAGAAAGAATATACTCACAATATTTCTCCCCCTTTGACAACATCAAAAAGGGGACAAATGTATGAAGAGAGTGAAAGCTCCCCTATCAATAAGCATTATTGAATATATGCAATAAAGATCATGGCAAAACATGTGAGCAAGCATAAATAATATGCCAAAAATCACCAAATCCAAATTTCATGTTTGGGTTCAACTTTGGGCCATGATTTTAAATCAAGTCATTTTATCCAATGGATTTGAAAAGCCCAAAAAGTATGGATTTCAAATTTCAACACAGTACTTGGTATTTGTTAAAACCGCACCCCCACGAAATCCAACCCCTCAAAACCCCGACTCCTCCTTTTCTCCTCTCTCACGCTCGTGTCGAAGTCCCGACGATCTTGATCTCGATCTCAAAGCTCGATCTCGATTTCGATCTCGATCTTGATCCATCGCAGGTATCTCTCCTCTCTCCCCTTCTCTTCTCTCGGTTTCGGTCTCCCCCTTTACTCCTCTCTCTCCCCCTTCCATCGAAACCCTAGACTGCTCCATGCCTGCAGCCCGATTGCTCTCCGAGGTGGAGTTCGAAGGTCCATAAGCACAAACACATAAATATCATCATATAAGTGAAGTATAATGAATTCAAAGCAACCGATCAAAATAAAATTTTTAAGAGAGGCAACAATTATATCAAGCTTTTGAGCTTGTTCCAACCCATATAATCATTTTAGCATCCGGTAAACTTGATTTGGGAATAAACACCCAATGAACCCGGAGGGTTATATAAGTACAAACCTCTCATCAAAACAAAACAAATAATCATGAAAACAAAAGATTTTATCAATTATAAATTTATTTTCATAATCAAAATATTCTAAGACATAATTTTAAAACCAAGAAAGGAAAAAAGTAAGAACACTAAAAATCTTGGTTTAAAGTTTAAATTTGTTTTGGTACCCAAGAACTCTTGGTACCAAAAGATTTAGGGACATGACCCCTATCATTAAAGCTCAAAGCCTTAGGGTTATGAACTCTCTTAGGCACATATGGTGCACTAACATGGTCAAAACAATATTCATTCAAATGACCCTTCCGATTGCAATTTGTGCAATGAAAGAGATCCATTTGTTTTTGTGGACCATTAGCTCGTGCACGGGAATCATTTGCAAATAAAGATTTTCTTTTAAAATTATTTTGCAAATGAGAAACATTCTTAAACAATGGTCTATTTGGAACATATTGCAATTTAGAAGCTTTTTGTATATCAAAACAAAATTTAGCAAGATGTCCAAACTTACCACAAACATCACATTTAAAAACATGTGGTCTATTGGAAGCATTTGTCAAATGAGATTTTCTTTTCAAATCAAAGCAATATTTGGCCAAATAACCAAAACGACCACAATAATCACACTTGAACACACTAGCATGCTTATGATTAACTTTGTGAGAATGAGCATGTGAATGTGTAAGTGTACAAGATGAAGAAGCTATATGAGATGCACAAGGAACATTAGAATTCTTATGTTTGTGTGCATCATAACAAAACTTAGCTAAATGACCTTGACGGCCGCAAATAGAACACTTATAAGTTTTGCTATACATGTGTGCATAATGAGTAGATGATTTTGATTTAGTCTTGGCACACATGTCCATAAGCCTCTTATGATTATTAATGCATATTTTCAAAGTTGAATCTAAAGATGAAATACTTTTGTTCATAAGATTCAAGTCTTCATTCTTAGGCACATATGCATTTTTAGAAGTAGAACATAAATAGTTATTTATAAAAGAAGCTGTATCATTCTTTATGTTCTCTACTTCTAACATGGCATCAATCTTAGCATGAGATAAGCTAGAAATGGATGATGATAATTTCTCATTTTCCAATTTTAACATATCATTACTTTCTTTAAGAGCAACATTTTCTTTGGAAATGATATCAAAATTGGAAGCTAGCTTCTCATGATCGGATATAAGTTCTACATGCTTGCTTTGTAAATTAATGAAATCATTTTGCAATTTGTTAAAGGCATGTAATAATTTTTCACTAGCACAAGCAAGTTCATCACTAGATAAATCATTATCGGGTTCGAACTCGCAAACCTCACTAGGGCTATCGCCTAGTGGCCGTGTGCATGATGCTCCACATGAACTTGAAGCGGGATCCTCCAAAGCTTGTCGGATCGCCTCCAAGTCTCCTTGATGTGCTTCTATGAATATCCACAATTTGTAAGCACTATCAAAATGAGCAAGTTTGTTAGAAATAGAAGAATCAAGTGCATGAAGCATATATTCTAACACAACTTTATTCATAGTAAACAATCTTTTATCATTTCTACTCCACTTGGATTTCTCCATAGTGGGTACAATATAAGCATCATCAATAATTCCCCATAAATCAATATTTTTAGATTGCACAAAAATTTTAAATCTAGAAGCCCATTGTGCATAGGGAAAATTAATGAATTTAGGAGCAACATTAGATTCATAGCCTAACAAATGTGCACGCTTCATGACCATGATAAATATATATGTGCAAGCAAGACAAAAAATGCAATCAAAACAAGATTAGCACAAAAAGATAACTTGGATCTTTAACTCAAGGCGATTAGACCTTAAATCAAAGAGCACCAAGCTCTGATACCAATTGTTAGACCCTAGAGGGGGGGTGATTAGGGTCTTATGCTAATCTAATCCGATTAAATGCCAATTAAAATTAATTAACAAGTTATCCTAGCAAGTATGAAATAACTATTAAAATAGATGTTCTGTACTCAAAGGATTGAATGATACATTTGCTATTTAGAACAGAGGATGGCTTATTGAGCTGAGACTTAACAGTATCTATTGTTTGTTAAGTCTGCATCTGTTGCGTCAAGTCTACAATGTAATGTTAGAAATAAAATTGTCTCTACGTATCTGGGGCCATACTGTATACATTATTTACTTGAAGCAGTTATAATTTGCCCCATCTTTACAATGCAATAGGTTGTGATTTGATCTCTGTAAGCAGTTGGGATTTCTCCAGTGTTGCTACTTTGCTCTAATTTGTCCCATCTTTCTTCCTGCAGATTGGATGATTGTTGACTTCAGATAGCAGGGGCCATACTGTATACATTATTTACTTGAAGCAGTTATAATTTGCCCCATCTTTACAATGCAATAGGTTGTGATTTGATCTCTGTAAGCAGTTGGGATTTCTCCAGTGTTGCTACTTTGCTCTAATTTGTCCCATCTTTCTTCCTGCAGATTGGATGATTGTTGACTTCAGATAGCAAAATAAGCGCAAGTGTCGATTGGTCCTTTGTTAGTCTCTGGCAGATTTTAAAATTTATGGAGTCTGTTTTTTCTCCTCCTTACCTGTGGCATTTGCAGATTTGAATGATTGTTGAATTGTTCTTTTGTTGCTACGGATAGGGTTTATCATACGAGCGGTTCTGAATTCTCGGTTGCAATTTCTTTACATTGAGGATACTTCTCTTCTCACATGCTATTCAGTTTGCAACTCTTTGTATTTTTTCTTATTAACATTTCTCTTGGTATATCAAAGACCAAATTGACTATGTAATTGTCAGTTGTACCTGCATTTGAGAAGATAATGGAATTGTTACTTATTTGCTCTGATATCAACTTATTCTCACTTTGAATATGTGTGAAATATGAAACAAACCTCAAGTGTTTTCCAGCCTGGATATCTGTGAAATATGCAGTGATGATGTATTATTTAGATATTTTTTTGTAAGATACTTGATATGTTTGTAGAGTTTTTTTCAAGTTATGGTGGGTAATGAATTTGAAAACTTAGCAAATGTAGCTATTATCGTCAAAATTATAAATTTGTGTTTTTTTGGTTATTATTTTACACATCTCCATTGCATGTGATGGGTTAAGAGAATAAATTTTCATCAATTTTAAATTTAGTTTCATGTATAATAAAGTATCCAAACACTAGATTTTGAAATCAAAGATTTCAAATCCTTTCATTTCATAAAGATATCCAAACAAAAGATTTCTTAAATCATGGATTTCAAATCCTAAATTTAAAATCCCTTGATTTTAAATCAACTTCTTAAATCCAAATCCAAGTTCCCAAACGTAGCCTTAAGGAATATTCGATATAGACGGAGTGTTTGAAGCATCAAACTCCGTTACATCCCAGCATGCGCCATTATTTTTTTTTGCGAGAAATCTTGGCTACCGGCCAAGTAGATCCTGGTATCTCGGCCTCCGGAGCTGGTGCTTCCCTCGCTGCCTTAAAAAAACCTACCCAAACCCACCATTAAAAGAGTTTATAAAGAGAATTCACCCCAAAGCAACATGATTTGGCTAGAAAGCTGACTTTTGTAAGAAACTTTTATATATATATATACTAGGTGGAATGCACGTGCACTGCACGTGATCAAATATCATAATTATTTTTTAGGTATATTTATTTACTATAATATGGTCGTAAAAAACTTTATAAATATCATAATATATTAATTTTTTTGGATATTTCCATGTGTGGTTTTAACATTTTTAAACTTTATAAATATCATAATATATTAATTTTTTTGGATATTTCCATGTGTGGTTTTAACATTTTTGTCTTCCAAAAAATTAGTGATGTTTAAAACCTTAAAATATTAACGATTTAAGATTAA